GCAGACTCTGTTGGAGAACTCACTTTTGTGCCATGGTGGGAAGATTCTAGGGAGCCCAGGTGGTACAGTGGTTAAAGTGCTCAGCAGCAACCTAAAAGGTCAGCTGTTAGAACCCACTAGATGCTCTGCAGGAGAAAGATCTGGCAGACTGCTTCTGTAAAGACGTATAGCCTTGGAAACCCTATGGGACAGTTCCACTCTGGGTTGTTATGAGTCGGAATTGACCCCATGGCAGTAGGTTTGGTTTGGTTTTGGGAAGAGTCTCCCTCTCTGGTGAGAAGAGGAGCTCTGGTAGCGTAGTGGCTAAGGCACTTGACTGCTAACCAGAAGGCTGGCGGTTCAAACCCACCAGCCACTCCTCGGAAGGAAGGTTGGGCAATCTACTTCCATAGTGATCATCGGAAACCCAAGGAGGGGTTGCTATGAGTCGGGTCTGACTCGATGGCACATAACAACAACAACAACTGGTGAGAAGAGACAACTACCTCTTCAAGTCCTCAACGGCATTGTTGGATACCTTCCTTCATAAGGCAGAACTACAACTCAACAGCCTCGGGCCTCAAGTGATATATGGCCAGCCACACACCAATCGAGTTGTTCCAGATTCATTGGAAGCAGGGTAGTTGCCGGTGTGCAGACATGTGGCTTCAGCTGCCAGAGAGTCACTTGTGGGGATCTAAGACTGTCAAGCCAATGTGTGAGCCCGGGATCCTCCAGTATCCTGCTCAGAAGACAGCATTTGTCTTGTTGTCCTTGGCCAAGTCACTTCATACCTTTGGGGCACAGAATCTTTGTCAAATAGGAATAATGTAACCCACCTACTTCTATGCCTGCTCTGATAACCCAGTGGACGCTATGTGTGAAAGGATGCAGGGAAGTGGTTGATTAGTGCAGTGAGTAGGGGACACCAAGGACACAAGACACATAGTCCTGTCCCCTGGTGGGGCAGCTCTGACTTCAGCCTGCAGAATTTTTTCCCCAGGAGAACATCAACTGCAGAAGGTTAAAGGTCTAATGGTAAACAAACTTGCTGCTGTCTAAAGGATATAAATGTGGGCATCTCTCCCATAGAAAGGAAAAAGGACTGCTAACTCGATGACAGGTTGTAGAGTTGGAAGCCTTGGCCTGGGAGGTAAAAGAGCATAGCCTGCCAGGCACTGGCAGTGCCACTGTGAGATGCTGCTGTTTGTGGAACCAAAGCCCCCTTCCCTGGAGGACACACCCTGGGAAAGTAGGATCCTGGTCCATCCATTCCCCTTGCTGCACCTGAGGTCAAGGGACTCAATATTCATTGACAAAGCCAGCTGGTGCCTTATATTTGGGCCAGGCTTGGCTTTTCCAAAGTCCCTGGGGGGTGCAAATGGTTACTGCACCCCCCCCCACATATCACTCCCCACCACACATATACCTCTCCACACACTACATACATACAACACCCCCCACCAAACACATACACACACCACTCCCCCCACCCATCCCCATACAACACACATACCACCCCCACCCCCCCACATTCCCCAACACACACCACATACATTCACACACACAAATACACCCCATATCCATACACACATACACACACACTCCACAAGCATAACTGACCTACTGGGTTTTCTGTGTTTGATTTTTTGGTTCTGAGCACTCCCATCTCACTAGCTCCTCCCCTCTCCCACAGATCTGCAGACTGGAGTGACCTTAACCAACAATAGGGGACAGCTGACTCCCTCTACGGGACACCAGGAACTGCTAGAGGAGCCTACCGCCAATGTAACCTACCGCCTGGTCCCTAGACAGAAGCTGGACTTCATCATTAAATATGGAAAACTCTTGGCTTCAGAGAATGTGCAACTCATTCTACATCCTCAAATGGGGGCAGAATTACAGTGGAAAATGGAAACCATGTCACAAAAACACTACCGCAGGCAGTTACAAGTGTCTGAGTAGAAGCACTGGCCCAGGACCCAGATATGCCCTTACTTGCCTGCTGTGTGACACTGGGCAGCTTATGTGGCCCCCTTATGGCTTCAGTAAAACAGTGGTAAAGACACACCAGAAGGCTGCTCTGTGGGTTAAATGAAGTGTCATATGTACCATATTTTGCCTGGGCCCTGGTACATAGTTAGTTTAACCAATATTAGCAGGAAGTATTAGAAATATTATAATCATATTATTATATTATAAATCCAGTTTTGGTTATTGTTTATTGCTCAACTATCAATTCTTCTGCTTGTTTTCAGAGAAAAAACATTGAAAGGGGTACGGTAATCTCAGTCAACTCTCTACCTATGACTTACGCCCCACAGACATTCTTTCTCACGGAGAAATGAATTACATAGAAACACATACTTTAACACATTTGTTTTCAACCTAGGAAACAGATATGATGCTTTTGTAAATATGCAGAAAATGAATCTGAGCACAAAGCTACAGCATTAACATTGTTTAGGAAAATCCCCGAAGAGCTCTATTTTTCTCAAAAGCAAATGCCCTCACTTAAAGGGGGTCCAGGAGAAATAACGCTTGAGATGGTTTTCTCCTGCTCACTGCGAGCACTTCTGCTTTGCAGTATGAAAAGCAGCACTGTGGTTCTGAGTGAGAATCCTGACACCCCCTGTGGTGAACCTGACAATCCTGTCTGTAGACGGTGGGGGAAAGCAGCAAAGCCTCTTCCCAGCAAGGGTCCATGTGAATGGACGAAATCTTTCAAAACCCCTAATGGACTTTGTAATGAGCAGGTATGGTGTTTCCCCAATTTTTGTTACTGATGCCCTTTTCATTTTACATTTCATTGTGGTAAGATAGAAACAGACACACAGAGAGAGAAAGAGAAAGAGAGAACAACACTCTGGTGGTTCAAATCCGCCAGCGACCCCAAGAAGGAAGACTGGGCAATCTACTTCCATAAAGATTTACCACCTCAGAAACCCAAGGAGGGGTCGCTATGAGTCAGAATTGATTCGATGGCTGTGGGTTTAGTTATATATATGTATATACTTATATTAAACAAAAGGAAGCTCTGGTGGCATAGTGCTTAAGGCATTTGACTGCTCACCAGATGGCTGGTGGTTCAAACCCACCAGCCACTCCTCAGAAGGGAAGATTGGGCAGTCTACTTCCATGGTGATACCACCTCAGAAACCCAAGGAGAAGTTGCTATGAGTTGGGATTGACTCAACAGCAATGAGTTTGATTTTTTTGGTTTATATGAAACAAAAAAGTTTTCCATTTTACATTTTTAAGTGTACAATTCCGTGATATTAATTATCCATTATCTATTTCCAAAAGTTTTTCATCACCCTAAATAGACACTCAGTTTTCTTTGAGCAATAACTCCTACCTCCCTCAGCCCCTGGTGACCAGATTTTGGTCTCCATACATTTGCCTATTCTAGGTATTTCATATGGATCACACCTTGACATAAGGAAAACAGAAATCCTCACAAATGGACCAAGAACGCATATCATGATAAAGGAAGAAAATATTGAAGTTGTCAAGGGTTTCATTTTACTTGGGGATCAATGCCCATGGAAATAGCAGTCAAGAAATCAAATGAGGTACTGCACTGGACAAGTCTGCTGTAAAAGACCTCTTCAAAGTGTTCAAAAGCAAAGATGTCACTTTGAGGACTAAGGTGTGACTCAAACCAAAGAACAAACTCACTGCTGTTGATTCGATTCTGACTCATAG